CAGGCTTTATGCAGTGCTGGGGACTAAACCCAGGGCTCTTCCACTGAGCCACCCCCACCCCGGGATGGGAAGAATTCAAGGGCGGAAGGAAGCTTGGAAGCTTGGTGCAGCCCAGTGACACACAAGGGCTGGAAGGCACAGGGGATGAGGTGAGGGGCGGCAGGGACTGCACTGTCCCCAGCAGGGCTCTGTGGGACAAAAATGAAAAAGAGCTGGGGATATGGCTCAGCACAAAGGCCCGGGGTTCAAGGCCCAGTACCTAAAAGAATTTTAACACAGCGCCTGCCTGGCAAGCGTGAGGTCATGAGTTCGATTCCTGGTACTGGAAAAAAAAACAGAAAAAAGAATTTTAAGGAATGCATTTCACCTCATGTAACTTATGTGTCAATAAATAAGCAAAAAAAAAAAAAGGGAAAACTGTCTTGACCAAACTTTAGGAATTGTTATTTAAGCTCCTCATGGTACATATAAAATGTGTACTAATGTCAGTCTCGGCTGCGTCCAGTAGGTTAGCTTGAAAAGACCAGCCTGCCTCAGCCCGATATCCTGGGACAGTCAGCCCTGGCTGGGGTCACGTGGTGTCTCAGGGCCAGCCTGGGGAGAGCCCGGGCCCCGCAGGGACTGGCAGAGCCCCAGGACCGGCCGAGCTCCTCGCAGGAGAGGGTGGCGGCAGCGCTGTGGGTCTGCACTGCAGCCAGGTGGCCCGGCAAACGCGGAGTCCACGACCCTGCAGGCTCTCCGGGTGCCCTCCGCCCTGCCCTCCGCCCTCCCAGCCTGATCACGGGGACTCTGCCGGGGACATCCCGCCACGCCTGCTCTCGCCTCACCACGCCCGGCCCTCCTTAGTCCTCCCAGCACCCGACCCGGGCCCCGTTCTCTTCACACCCTCTGCACAGGAGGCTGAGTCAGGCTGGACCTTGAGCAGCATGTGCGCGGATGCACATTACACGGCCACACGTGTGTGTGCACTGCACGGACACAGCCCTGCACCTCCAGTTCCCCCACCCCGACGGAGACAGTCGAAGCCAACACCCTGCCGAGGCCAGGGCACACAGCCCACAGACCTCTCCTAACAGGGCAGCAGAACGGCGATTACACAGCACCACGCACACGGGGCCTCAGCCACCGCCACCTGCAGACCACTTGATGTAGATGAGGCCGGGCGTGGCGGCCCACGCCGGGCATCCCAACACTGGGGAGGCTGAGGCAGGAGGATTGCAGGCGGAGCCCAGCCTGGGCAACTTAGCCACTTACTGAGACCTCATTTCCAAGTAAAAAGTGAAAAAGCGCGGGAGTGCAGCTCGGGGAAAGGCTCCGTTGAACCCCCAGCACCACCAGAAATAAAATAAGGACCAGGAGAGAAGCACAGGGCTCTCTGCGGGGATCTGGAGGGAGGGCTGCGGGCATAGCCCCATGCACACATGCGCACGTGTGTAGACTGCACGCACACACGGGACGGCAGGGGAGCACGCACCAAACACACAGCGGCCCCACGCGGCAGGCGCGGCGATTATGTCTCCCCCGCTGTGCTTTTTCTGTCTTCCAGGGGATTCAAGGATGAACCTGCCTTAGCTCTCTGGGCCCAAGCGGCTGCGGAGACCTGGCGGCTGGAGCCGGGCCCCCGCGGCCGCGCGGGCGGAAGTGGTGCCCGGGTTCCAGAGTTAACTTTTGATGCCAATTTAGGCCTCACTTGGCAGAAAGTGAGAGTCGCCCTGGGCCTCATTAAGAGTGGTGCTACCCACCGCAGGGCCCAGCAGGCCCGCACTGCGAGCGATGGGCAGCGACGGCGCTGCCCGGCCCAGCCGCCCAGGGAGGCGCAGGCAGAGGGCGGCTCCGCCCCTCCCGTGCCGGCTCTGGTTGTGTTTTCTCCGGCTCACCTGATGACGAAGCTCTCCGTGTCCCCGGTCACCCCAGGCCGGCCCCAGGCTCCCATCCCCCGGGGCTCAGCGCCAGCCGGGCCTCAGGCGGGAAACCTGGCCCTGCGGTCCTCCCTGACTGCCCGGCGCCTGGACACGGCTGGAGCCTTGAGGCCCGGCTCCCCTCCCGACCCCGCACTCAGGCGCGGTGGGCCTGCGCAAAAGGACTCCTTCACTAGCTTGATTCATTCATTTTTTGCTTTTTGGTACCCTTTTATTTTTATTTATTGTTTTTCTTTGGGACAGGGTCTCACTGTGTAGCCCAGGCTGGGCTTGAGCTAGTGACTCTCCTGTCTCAGCCTCTCCTGTGCTGGGATTACAGGTGTGCACCACCATGCCCAGCACGGTAATTAGTGCACAAGCTTCCTTGGAAGGAAAAGTTCACACACACACACACACACACACAAACCCTAGAAATAAAATTTTAAAAACAGGAGAAAAATGCTTTAAAATTGCAATAATTAATTGCTAGCCAGGCGTGGTGGTAGCACTATAATCCCAGCACTCTGGGAGGCTGAGGCAGAAGGATCGCAAGTTCCAGCTCAACCTCGGCAACATATAAACTCGAGACCCTGTTCGGAAATAAAAATGGAGCTAGGGGCGTAGCTCAGTGCAAAGGTCCTTGTCTCAATCCTCCGTACAAAAGAAGAAACCAAACTCACACACAAAAGACACACCTTGCTATGTGAACACGGGTCCGGAAGCAGACCAGCAGGAGAGACACCGGCTACACCGCGCCGCGCATGCGCGGAGAAGTGTGTCCGCAAAGGCCCCCTGGACAGCCACGCCCACCAACGGAGGACCCCGGCCACAGGCGAGTGGAGACGGACGCGGAGTCCACGCCACAGGTGACAGCTGGCAGGAGAGGCCCTGGGGGACATGGTGGTGACGCTGGCGGCCTTAAAGGTCCACAGTGAGGTCAGAACACAGCGACTCGTGCACTGGTACAAGCTGTAGCTCCCCACAGCGCGCTGTACTGGAAATACTGAGAAAAAGATGTATGCGTACCAAATATGGGGGCAGAGGTGGAGACCCGTCTCACTATGCAGCCCTGGCTGGCCTCCAGGTCATGCTGACCCTCCTGCCTCAGCCTCCTGAGTGCTGGGATTATAGGCCTGCAACACCACACCTGACTCAGAGTTGCAGTTTTAAAGACAAAAGATCTGGAGAGCTTAGCCAGGCGTGGTAGTGCACGCCTGTAATCCCAGCACTCAGGAGGCTGAGGCAGGAGGATTGCTGCCAGTTAGAGGCCAGACAGCCTGAGGCAGAATAGTTCAAGGCTAGCACTGACTGCACAGTGAGACCCTGTTAAAAAAAAAAAAAAATTCTCTTGAGACCGTGTCTTGCTAAGTCTCTAAATTCACCAGGCTTACTTGAATTTATGATCCTCTGCCTCAGCCTCTTCACAGTGCTGGGATCACAGAGGTGACCACAGCACCCAGCTTTTCATTCCTGACCTCCTCCACACTTCTAAATTTAAACTTTTTTTGGTTTTTTGGGTTGTTTGTCATTTTGAGACAGGGTCTCACTATGCAGTTCAGGCTGGCCTCGAATTCCCGGTGATCCTCCTGCCTCAGCCTCCCGAGTGTGGGGATTACAGGCGTGCACCACCACGCCCCACCTCAACTGAAGCCTTCTTGAAATGGCGAAGGGCAGAGTCCAGGTTAATCTCAGAAAATCCCAAGCCCAGCTGACCCCTTGTGGGCCTGCCTGGCACTCTCTCACAGCCCGCCAAGCCCTCAGCCCGGGGTCCCTGACCCTGAGCACTGCAGAGTGGAGATCAACTCAGGAGACCCTGCGCCTGCAGCCCCACAAGCGTCGGGGCGCCCAGCCTTGGAAACGGCTCGTGGGCCCCGGGCCGGCGCTCTGGGCATCACCCATGGGCAGCTCACATCCCGGCCCTTATCTGAGGGAGAGGACCAGAAAACGATCGCCTGTCCACGGCAGCGCCCAGCCAGGAGGCGGGCTGTCCCCGTCCAGGGTGTGCGTGGCAACGTGGGGACACGTAGGCTCAAACACCACGAAGCCAGCAGTGCCAGCTCTGGCCGCGTGTTCCAACGGCTCCCTCCGGCCCAGTGCGGAAGCACATGCCCGCGGCCCCAGCACTCTAGGAGGCTGAAGCAGGACAGCAAGTTGGAGCTCATCCTGGGCAACTTATACCGTCTCAAAACACAAGTAGGCCGGGGATGAAGCTCCGCGGGGAGGCCCCGGGCTCACGCCCTAGCACCGCCCCTGCTCAGAACCCCCAAATGGCCTTCCCCGTTGCATCCCCTGCAAGTTTAACTACTCCAGTTTGTATTTTAGCCCTGAATAGTTCACAGCATAAATTAGTTCTGATGTGTATATTCTGGGCAAATGTTCTGCCGCACTGTCACACTCCACGACGGCCTCTGCCGCAGGAAGAAAATCCCCAAGGTCCAAGCTGTAATGTGGGTCGGGTTTCACCGGCAGGTCAGGAAACCACCGAGAGCCAGAAACGGCCTGGACCGAAAGGAGCAGCGAACATCAGAAACTGCCCCCAGTTTTGTCGTTTTTTTGTTGTGTTTTTTTTTTTTTTTTTTGAGAGAGAGTCTCGCTATGCAGTTCAGGCTGGCCTTGAGCTCACTTTGTAGCCCAGGCTGGTCTCGAACCTGCAACAATCCTCCTGCCTCAGCCTCCCGCGTGCTGGGATGACAGGCGTGTGCCACCACGCCTGGCTTGTCTTCATTGTGAAACACATATGGTCTGCTCTTGGAAGGGTGCCAACAACTTTATTTAACATATGATACACACATGTGAATGTCCAACATGAATGGCCACGTACAATAGGAAAAACAGCAAATCCTTTCATGGAAAACACTAACAGCTAACAGCGTTTGATGTCTCAACCCGTGGACAATAAACTTCAAATACCCTGCTGAGCTGCACCTTCGGACATACAATTCCTCAACACACGGATCATCTGAACAAGAGTGTCCTGCTGTTAAATCCATGGCCACGACTTTAAATGGATTTAAATTCTTTTCCTTTTCCCTTTTTGTTTCTTTGAGACAGGGTCTCACTGTGTAGCCCAGGCCGGCCTCAAACGCGCAACGATCCTCCTGCCTCAGCCTCCTGAGTGCTGGGATTGCAGGTGTGCGCCACCCCGCCCGGCACACTCTTTTCCGTTCCTTTTGTCCTATTTTCCTACACAATTATGTAATCCAGACCATTTCTCCCATTTCTCGTTTGCATCACTGCCCCATTTTCTCTGAGCCTTAAATTCTCCCGATACCTGAGAGGTGGTAAAATGGCTTTAGCAGTTTACCCTAAGTTTGTTAAAAATATGTAAAATGAGAACAGTCTCCCAATACTGCATAATAAAATAAGCTATCACATGATCGCCAGAGCATCACAGAACAGTCACGGTTTATCTCCAGGGAACCCGTCAGCATCGACGATAGTAAAATCAGAGAGACTGAACTGGAGCCCGGGCACGCAGTTAAGAGCAGCCCTGGTGGCCCCAGCGGTCAAGGCCGGTTCAGGCCGCTCCAAGAGGGCGACCGTACGCTGAGGCTCCAAAGATCAGCCTCTGCCACCCCCTGCTGGGCACCTGTGGCAGTAACTGCGGAACTGGGAACCAACAGCGGCCCTTGACAGGAGGATTCTCAGAATGAGAGCTGTGTGAGGCGGCACCTGCCTTGACAAAGCCACGCTGCCAGGCCACAGCGGACCCGGCGAGCACCCTGAACCCCGCTGCTGCCACCACGGCCCGCCCAGGGCACGCGGCCTCCTTCAGCGGGCCTCACAATGGGAAACAAAAAGGGAAAAGGAAAAGAATTTAAATCCATTTAAAGTCGTGGCCATGGATTTAACAGCGGGAGTCATTGCGAAATCCTTCTTCCTCATCTGCTTACTGAGCAGGCAACCCCACTATAAAGTGGGAAAAGGCAGAACGGCGGTGAGCGGCGCCCCCAAGTGGTAGCACGACTTGTTGATCATCCTGGCACGCTGGGAGGCTGAGGCAGGAGGATTTCAAGTTTGAGCCCAGCCCGGGCAACTGGGTGACTCAGTGAGGTCCTATCTCAATAAAGGGGAATGAGGATGTAGCTCAGTGGGAAAGTCCTAGGCTCAATCCCCCAAAACAAAATTCAAAGAATGAGCCACAGGCCCCAAGACCAGGGTCCCCCCCACCCCCCGCACCCGGCAGGACCCTTCTAAGTGCTGTTGCGGGCGCCGCGTCTACGCCGTGTCCTGCGGCTCTGCGCGGGGCCCCGCAGGCACGTCCGGCGGCCCCGTCCTCATGTGGGTCTTGCAGTGCCGCCTCATGGTGCCCAGCTGGCGGAAGGTGTGGCCGCACACGGGGCAGGGGTAGGGCTTGGCCTGCGTGTGGATGCGCGTGTGCACGTTGAGGTTGCCCCGGTGGCTGAAGCCCTTGCCGCAGTGCTCGCACACGTAGGGCTGCTCGCGGGTGTGCGTGCGCAGGTGGCCCAGCAGCGTGGACTCGTGGGTGAAGGCCTTGGGGCAGAGGCGGCAGCGGAAGGGCCGCTCGCCCGTGTGGATGCGCTGGTGCACGCGCAGGTCGGACAGCTGCATGAAGCCCTTGTCACACTCGTCGCAGCGGAAGGGCCGCTCGCCCGTGTGCGACCTCGAGTGGATGACGAGCTGCGACGGGTACTGGAAGGTCTTGCTGCACACGCCGCACCTGTGCGGGGCCGAGGGGGTGGCCTGGCCAGGACCAGGGAGAGCGGGCGTGGGGCTGCCCGGCGTCGCCTCTGTGTGCAATCCGCCTCGCTCCTCGGGACACCCCGGGCCTCCCTGGGGGCCTCCCGGGGACAGCGCCCGGCCCGCGCTCCTCCTCGGGGGGCTTCTCGTGCCTGGGGGGTCTCCTTCGGGCGCACGCTCAGCGCAGCCTCCTGTCTCCGGAGCGCAGGTGGCCGCGGGGCCGGCAGCCCCGTTCGCAGTGGCGGTGTCTCCATCCTGGGGCTCCTGGTCGTCCTGTGTCCATGCAGGACCTGCTGGGAAGAGACAGATCCCACAGGCAGCGTTTAACAGGGGCGTCTGCAGGGTGCTGCCAGGCCGCGGGACCTCCGGACGCTGTGCAACCCTGCAGGGACTGCAGGGGACGCTCTGGAGGGCAGCGGTGCGGGCAGGTGACTGGCGGGGGGCTGGCCGAGGGGCGCTGCGCCCGCGGTCTCTCACTTACCTGGGGCCGGTGGGAGCACAGGCTCCGGGGACTGCTGCGCGGACATCTCCTGGGGCGGCCCCTGCTCCCCTTCCTCAGGCGTGGTCTCCGGCGGGACGGCCTCGCACTGCGGGAGAGACGAGCAGAATCACACCAGGCCCCAGTCGGGGGCACGGATCGCCCTGGCTGGAGCTGCTCACCACCCTCAGCTTCCTGGGGATGCCCAGAAGTTCACCAGCTGAGAAGCTCCCGGCCTGGCGCCAGGTCTGCGTTAACCTGTAACTTCTACCACCACCCCCCCGAGTCACCCCCGCGCCCCCCGTCTCCCCGCTTCTCCCTGCGGACTCCGCAAGCCGGACGCCCGCTGAGGCTCCTCTGCCCCGGGGAGTCTGCAGCCACCAGGAACGGCCCACCAAAGCCACCTCCAGACAGATCCTTGGGTTCCTTGGAGGTTCAGCCCCCTACCCAGGCCTTCAATTAAGGTGAGAAAATCACCAGTGTGGCCAGCTACGTCACGGGACCGTCTTGGAGGAAGCTGGCTGCAGGACATGGAGTGTGTCACCCGTGGCTGCCGACCGGCCCCACGGTGGCGATGCCTCTCCAAGCCCTCGGCGCCAGCGGGCCAGGCCCCCAGCTCCTCCCGCTCCTCCCAGGGACAGTGGCCACACACTCACCTGGGCCCCCGACGGCTCCTCCGTCCCCGCCAGGTCCGGCGGCTGCGGGCTGACCAGGCTCCCGTGGGGCAGGGCCGAGCCCTCCACGCTCCGGCACCTGGGGGACAAGTCGACCACGGTGCCCGGCTCGCTGGCCTCTGCGTCCGCCATCTCGACGTCCGCGTCCCGCATGAGGAATTTCTGTCCTTCATAGACGACGATGGACTGGGGAAGCAGACAGGAGCCACGGTCAGAACCCGCGGCCCGGGCCCAGCGCTGGGGAAGGGGCCTGCTGCTCCCACCCTCCTCCCGGGGCCCTGGAACTGGGGGGGCACAGCTCAGCCCAGCCCAGAAGGGGGAAAAGCAGACATTTCTGCTGAATACAACCCGTGTGCCCGGGGCCCCTCCCCGGCCCGGGCCTTGGGGGCTCACGTGGGCACATGGGGATCCCCACTCCGTCCTCCTGGCTGGCCCTCTGCCCACCAGCCATCGCTCGCCCCAGTCCCTGATGCTGGCCCCCCACCTCACGTGAGTCAGTCTCAGCCCCAGCGTTTCAGACCTGATGCCCTCTTTGGTGGGGTCCTGGGCCCTAAGGATGCTGGACAGCTGTCCCTGGTCCTGCCCGTTAGCATCCTGCCCCGCAGTGTAAGGTGTCCCCAGGCTGGCACGGACCAACTCCGGGCGAGCCTGCCCTGCCAGCACTGCTTTAGATCAAGGTCAGGCCCTCACTCCTCTATTTCTCTTTACGGATTAAAAATAAAAGGCCAGGCGAGGTGGCGCACGCCTGTAATCCCAGCACTTGGGAGGCTGAGGCAGAAGGATTGACCTGAGCTCAAGAGCACCCTGGGCTACACAGTTTAAGACCCTGTCTCAAGAAATGAAAACAAAAATGAATACATAGAATACATAAATTAGGGGTTGGAGGACTTGGCTCTGTGGTACAGCTCTCCCCTCGCATGCACAAGGCCCTGGGTTCGATCCCCAGGACCACTAAATAAATAAATGAAAGTTGGTCTGAGTCTGCAGAGACCAAGTGGCCATCTCTGACCACCACACGCTCCACCTCGGCCCGGCCGTGGGTCCGGCCGCCGGATAAGCTGTCTCCTGTCTGACAGCACCAGGCGGCCCCAGAGGTCACCTGAACCCGCCCGTGCGCTCTGGCTTTAACAAGAGGGCCCAGTAAAAACCCGACCCTCGCTAAGCAACACCCACGAGACATGGCACTGCGGCCGCGCTCCCCCGGCCCTAGGCCTCGAGTCCCCGGCTCCAGGCGCTGGGTCTGCACCGCGCCCCCGTCCCCTCCCAGGGCCGCCCCCGGGGTACTGAGCTGAACACCCTGGAGCTGCTGTTTTACAGCTGCCCGGAGCCCACCCTGGCTCTGGATCCGGGCGCGTAACCAGCTGCAGGTGGAAAAGGCCTGAAAAGTTCCCTGACACCACACAGCGTCCGCAGGCCGGGGCGGGGAGCGCGTGAGTCTACGCACGCTGCACCCTGTGGGGGCTCCGGCCGACGCCCTGCCTCGTCTGTCCACTAGCAGGTCCCTGTCACGGATGGCCCTGTCTGTGCCGCCCCGCCCCACCTCCTTGGCCACTGCACCCACAGGGTGCAAAGCGCCCCCACCGAGGTCCGCCTGACCCAGGGCTTCTGCCAGCAGCACATGGCGACGTGGGATTCACTGTGGGTCGTCACAGCCGCGGGGGAGCCGGGGACCCGGCCCGCTGGCCGCAAAGGGTGGCACCTCCGGAGCCTCCTGGGTCCGCTGTGACTCACCCTGAGCTCACACGGCTTGCAGCCTGTCTGCCTGCTGCCAACCAGTGGCCGCTAAGTGTGGACCCCCGGGGTGACAAGAAAGCTGTCGCTTGGGCCTAGGTCCCTGACAAGACAAGCTGCCAGTTCCTGGATGCCAGGGGACACTTGTCACACACCCTGGCCTCCTCCCGCATCTCCAAACACGAGGTGACGGGCGCGGTGGTGCACACTCATGATCCCAGTACTCTGGGAGGCTGAGGCAGGAAGCTCACAAGTTTGAGCTCAGCCTGGAAACTTAGCAACTTGGGGAGACCCTGTCTCAAAATTTAAAATTTAAGCCTGTAATCCCAGCACTTGGGAGGCTGCGGCAGGAGGATCGCTGCAAGTTGGAGGCCAGACTGGACTAAAAGGTGAATTTAAAACCAGAGTGAACTGCACAGTCAAAGCCTGTCCTAAAAAGACAAAATAAACAAACAAAACTTTAAAAGAGGACTGAGAACTGGGAGCAGCCGGGCGTGGTGGCGGCACACCTGTAATCCCAGCACTCAGGAGGCTGAGGCAGGAGGACTGTTGCAAGTTCGAGACCAGCCTGGGCTACAAAGTGAGCTCAAGACCAGCCTGAACTGCATAGTGAGACCCTGCCTCAAAAAGACAAAATAAATAAATAAAAATAAAAAGAGGACTGGGGAGGCAGCTCAATGCAAAAGCCCTGGAATCCATCCCCTGTACCACAAGAAAAAAAACTTCAAGAAATACCCCTGCTGCACCCTTAAAAACCTGCATGAGGCACTGCCGACGCAGGGACCCCTCCTGCGCACTGCCGGGCATGGGGCAGCACCTCTGGTCTCCACCCACCAGAGGCGGGGGCGCCCTCCCAGTGAGCCCTGAGACCCCCAAGTGCCCCGGCCCTCAGTCCCCGTTCCCGGCCGCCCCACGCCCTGCTTACCGACTGCACGGGCCTCCCGTGGCCCCGCAGCAGCTCCTCCAGGTCCCTGCAGCTCCGCACGCCGCTCTCCCGGATCTGGACCTGCAGGTCCTCGGGTGCCGAGATCACCAGCTGCTCCAGCACCAGCTGGTCCAGGATCTGCTCCTTGGAGTGCAGGTCGGGCCGCAGCCAGCGGTGGCACAGCTCCGACAGCTGCTGCAGCTCTCCCACGGGGTCGGAGCCCTCCCAGGAGAAGGCCCTGAAGCGCAAGTGCCACTTTTCGGGGTCCCCCTCCGGCTTCCCTTGATTCCAGGGGCCCGCGCCGTGCTCGGCCGTCAGGAGAGGGTCCTCCTCCCCAGGCGACATCTGCCAGAAGGGACTCTCTCTGCTGTCGGGGAGGCTGCGGTGAAGGAGGAGCCAGGTCAGTGTCCAGGTCTCGCTCCACCCTCCTGCCCGCCGAATCCCGCCCCCCAGTCCGGATCCCATCCTCCCGTGCCCGGCGGGAAGCCAGTGCCTCCTGCTCCGGTGACACCCAGGCCGCCACCTCCCCTGCAGGCCCCGGATGGGCTTGGGCCCGCAGAGGAGCCCTCAGGTTCCCAGCAGAAAACCCGGGGACAGCTCTTGCCTACGGACTAAAGGGCTCCTGGAGTCCAGCGCCACGAAAGCGTCTGAGAGTTTTCTTCTCCATGGTACCGGGCTCGAACCCCGAGCCTTCACCCTGAGCGGCACCTTAGCCCTTTATTGTTTATTTTGAGAAAAGTCACTAAAGTGCCCAGGACGCGCTCAGACTTAGCCTCCTCCTGCCTCAGCCTCCCACAGTGCTGGGGTCGCAGCAAAGCCGAAGAACACTGAGCACCTTAATTCAGGTTGCCGTGCGCATTTCCTGCGCCCGAGAACATTGAAGCGCTCCAGGGACGGCAGCGCGATGGATCGCTGCAAGTCTGAGGCCGGCCTGGGCTACGCAGCGCGACTCTCAAAAAACAAAAAGGGCACAAAGGCAAATCCCACAGAAGATTTTGTCACTGCAGTCACATTAAAACGCACTAAACGTAAAGTTCACCACCGTATCCTCTTAAATTCTGCACACTGTGGGCATGGAGAACACCGTGAGCCAGATGTGACCGGCATGCCTGTAGTCCAGGCAGTCTGGGAGGCAGAGGCAGGAGGATCCCACATTCAAGCCCCGTCTATGGACAGGGAGAAGGGTTAACGGAGGAGGGGAGTGCGAATAAATATAACTGAAATAGACCTCGTACAGGTACAGACTCCCTGTGACGAACGTGAACACTCCGTGATGGCCCGGCCGGACCCCCACGGCCGCATGCGTGCACACAAACGTCAGAGGTGCTGAGCCTGGAAACCCCGCTCTAAACTCTAACGCGGTGTGGAAGGACCTGAGCTCCAAGGCACCGCAAGAGTCCACACCCCAAGCTCACCTGTCCGCGGCCTCCCCACCCGCTAGCGGACCCGGCTGGAAGCTCATCGTGTCCTCAGCTCACACTGAGCAGAGCGGACCAGACACCGCTATTTATAGGGCGCCGACCCGCCCTGTGCCCGGGCCGCCCAGGGATTGGTTCTCGCCCTAGTACCCGCCCTAGTTCCTGCACCAATGAAACGCCGGCCGCGAGAAGCCCCGCCCAGAGGATGATTGGACACGCCCTCTGTAGAGTCAGTTCCGGTCTGGTCCATGTGCCTCGGGCGGGAGGCGACGTCTAGGCTCCACTCTGCACCCCGGCCGGGGCGACCCTGGTGTACAGCTGAGTTGAGCTTTGTTGTTTTGTTCACCATAGATATAAGATATCTAGCAGTGCTCATGTCAAAGAAACGGAGAGTCACACACCAGTAATCCCAGCACGGGGAGGCTGAGGCAGGAGGGACGCACATTTGAGCTCAGTATGGCCAATTTAGGGACCCCTAAATCCCTAAATCCCTCAACAAAATAAATGAACCGGGCGTGGTGACACATGCCTGTAATCCCAGCAATCGGGAGGCTGAGGCAGGAGTGTCGCCTTGACTTCAAGGCCGGCCTGGGCTACATAGCAAGTTCAAGGCTAGGCTGAACCGCGTAGTGAGACCTTGTCTCAAAAAGACCAAAAAAAAAAAAAAAAAAAAAAAGGAAATAAATAAATGAAATAAAATAAGGCCTGTAAATGCAGCACCGAGGTAGAGGTGCCCCTAGATTCGATCCCCAGTACCCACAAAAAATACAGAAATGAACAAAAAAAGTTTTAAACGGAACAGCGAAGGTGAAGGAGGGCACTTAGAGAACTCAGGGTCAGGGTCCTCCCCTGTCCCGCAGCCTGGAGCCGCCGAGTGGGCGGGAGTCACCGGCCTAGGCCCCGCCCAAGGGGGCTGCAGCTCCCTGGCACCCTCTCCCTCCACCCGCGCCTGGGCGCCCTCCGCAGTGATCCACGACCGGCGTCCTGGGACCCTGACTCACAGAGACCCGCCGGTCTAGCGACTGCCCGTTACCCCAGGACCTCAGCTCCATGAGGCTGCACACCGGCTTAATGCTCTGAACAAGGCCTCGCCAGCGAGTCAGCAGGGAGAATGAAACTGACCAATTACAAACTTTTTCTTAACAGTGATTATTTTCCCTATCCTTCAATACCAAGTCCGTGGTTTGTAAACTTCAGAAGGGCGAATTTTATGGTCTGTTCCCTTTGTCAATAAACCTGTCATTTAAAAAGAAAACACTGCCAGGAGTGGTGGTGCATGCCTGAAATCCCAGTACCCAGGAAGCTGAAGCAGGAGGATCTCCACAAGTGCAAGGCCAGTTTGGGCTACATAGTGCACTCGAGGCCAGCTGAGCTAACAGTGAGACCCTGTCCCAAAAAGCAACAACAGCAACAAGAAGAACAGAAAAGAAAAAAGACAACATACGAGAAAGGGAACAAACACACCCATTCCACACACAGGAGTGAGGGTTGTGCTAGTAAGGGTTACTTGCATCAGTTTAGCAATCAAGCCGGCATTTTCCAAAGTGTCAAAGGTCTTAACAGGCAGAAAGAGCACACTGACTGGCCGGCTGATGCCCACGGCGGGCCAGCGGTGGACTGCATGCTCACGGGACCACGGCTGAACGATGCCTACGGGCTGGAGTTGATGGGATTCCGGCTTTGGACTCTCAGGGTACCAATCGTGTGATATAAAGTGCATTTAAATGTAATCTTCACACATCTGTTTTATTCAGACTTTCTTTGGTTTTTTTGTTTTTTGTTTTTGTTTTTGTTTTTTATTCAGACTTTCTTATTAAAATTTAATGTAAGCCAGTCATGGAGACACACGCCTATAATCCCAGCATTCGAGAGGCTGAGGCGGGAAGATCACTTCGAGTCTGAGGTCAGCCTGGGCTACATAAGAAGACCCTGTCTCAAAAAATAAAATTTTAAAAAATTTGATGTAGACCTGGGTGTGGTGGCACATGCCTGTAATCCCAGCACTTGGCAGGCTGAGTCAGGAAGATCATAGCGAGTTTGAGGCCAGCCTGGGCTACAAGGCCAGCCTGAACTGCATAGTGAGACCCTGTCTCAAAAAAGACAAAAACAAAACAAAACAAAAAAAATTTAGTATAAATTAGAAGGATGTAGGTTTTAGGCTGATTCTGGTTTTGGTTTTGGTTTTGTTTTTCTGCCTTTTTGAGACAGGGTCTCACTATGTAGTTCAGCCTGGCCTTGAATTCACTTTGTAGCCCAGGCTGGTCTTAACCTTGCAAGATCCTCCTGCCTCAGCCTCCGGAGTGCTGGGATTGCAGGCCTGTACCACCACGCTTGGCTGGTTGATTGTGGTTTAAATCCATAGGATAAAAATTTTTTCTCTGTAGTGGGATGCAATCCTACTGAGCCAGCCTGGCCTCAAGCCTTTAGTGATCCTCCTGCCTCAGCCTCCTGAGTGCTGGGATTATAGATGTGCACTGCCACACCCAGTTCAATTTTCTTTTGAGACAGAGTCTTGCTAATTTACCCAGACTGGGCTCAAATTTATACTCTGCTTGCCTCAGCACCCTGAGTGTTGGGATTATAAGCATACATCACCTCGCCCGGCTAAAATCGCCAGGGACTCCTAATCCTGTGGATTTTCAGCTGCTGTCAGCAGAATCCTGGAACCACCACCTCCTCAGGGTTAAGCAAGGCTGTAGCAGTGTTGTGCAGGACAAGGTCACATTGTCAAAAGCCGGTGATGAGCTAGGTGCAGGGGTGCAGGACGCAGCTTAAGAGGCAGAGCGGAAGGCTGAGATCTGAGCCCGTTCTGGGCCACACAGAGAGCTTGGTCACCAGCAGAGGCCCAGAAAGCGCCAGCCACCCACACGCCAGCCTCCTGCTCAGACCTGGCGCCTCCGTTCCTCGTCCCACCCAGAAAAATGCTTTCCTGGAAACCTCTGATACCATCTGTTTGTGTTCTACCTTTGTTGGCATCTAATTGACAAAAGTCATATTTATTAATGGTGTCAAATTTGATTCTTAAAATTAATTCTTTTTTTTTTTTGTTTTTTTTGAGCCAGGGTCTCACTATATAATGTAGGCTGACCTTGAACTCATTATGCAGCCCAGGCTGACCTCGAACTCATGGCGATCCTTCTGCCTCAGCCTCCAAGTGCAGGGATTACAGGCGTGTGCCACCATGCTAAAAGTACATTTTAAATGTCATTCCCACACAGACATTATAAGCCAGAGGGGCAATGAAGTCGTTATCAGTCTGCTTTAATCATTTTGTGATGGTGCATCCTGTATTATGTGCAATTACTATTTGCCCATTTATTTAATTTTATTTTATTTTTGTCTTTTTGAGACAGGCGCTGGCTGTTCGGTTCAGGCTGACCTTGAGCTCCCTTTGTAGCCCAGGCTGGCCTCAAACTCGCAATGATCCTCCTGCCTCAGCCTCCCGAGTGCTGGGATTACAGGCGTGCACCACTACGCAGAGCTCGCCCATTTATTTTCAGCATTATTAACATTTGGATCATGTACAGTGGGATAATTACCATAACCAAGCCAATTCGCACCTAGCGCCTAGCAGGGTTTCCCTTTTCTCTCTTGTTCTCCGTCTGCGCCTGTCCAGCAGGAACCCTTAGCTTCTGAGCTCTTAGCAGATCAGAGTTGGGGCTGGGGTTGGGGTTGGGGTAGGATTGGGGTGCATGTGCAGTGGGGCCATTTGCTCTCGGAGATGGGTGTGGGGACCCCAGTGGGACCCTGGACTGCACCCAGCCCTACACCCCCAGCATGGGCAGCATGATGTCACTTGGCCAGCCCTGGAGTGCCGGGGCCATGGAGGGCAACTGTGTCACGGATGCGTGTGGTGACTTCCCTGTGCCGGGGCCGGTCGTGGGGAGCCCCGTGGCATCGTGGACCCACTCAGTGTCCCACGGCAAAT